AAACCTTTCCTTCCTTAATTTTGTGTGTTGTGTATTTTGCCCCAGTAATAAGAGAAAAGTAACCAACACTTGCTCATTGCATGTTAGGAATATGGATTTCATTCACTTTACTTTATAAACCTCACCTGATGTTTCTACTTCTACTTTGGTCACACCCATAACGGAAGCTCATTCTATAATATCACTCCAATTAAAATTAAGGGTTTTTGTTGTTGTTGTTGTTGTTCTTTTAGTGGAACTGGGGATTGAACTTAGCCTCCTGCGCTTGGCAGGCAAGCATTTATTCTACTGATCCATCTCCCAAGCTCATAAAATTAAGTTTTTAAAAAGACTTTGCCTAGATCTTCACCTCCTAAAGCAATATTTGGCAAAGGATTAAATAAAAAGAGACAAGTAGTACAGTTTTGGGGGGCAATCCAGGAAAGTCAGAAAACTCTAGGAGTAAAGACAATAACTTATTTAAACAGCTAGTGTTTAACAGATTTGTATAGATTGGGGGTGCAGTAAGTAGAAGGTAGGAAAGCCCACAAAGAAAGTTAGAAAAAAAGCAGTATATATATTGCTCATTAAGAGAATTGTTTGATCTCTAATGTTGGCCATTTATTATTGTCCTTGAATATTCACTGGCCTGCAGCTGCAGTCTTATCTTTTCTGCAGAGAATGCCTCTAGAGAGCATTGGTTAGCAGCCTTACCTTTACACAGCCTGGTCTCCCACAAAGTTTTGCAATTTGATTTTCTTATTTCCTTTTTATAAGAATAATATAACTTATTACAAGTTTTCCCTTTTACAGCAATGAGTTTGGCAAAAGGATGAATATGAATGAGGTAACAATTTTATGGTCAAATTTGGTGTTTCATTATGTGTAGCATGCCACATAATTTTGCACTAGGTCAGTCCTTGAATAGGCGGTGGAAGTAGGATTAAACACCATGAATCACCAAAGAATTCATGGAATAATTCAAAGTTTCAAGTCTCTTTTGCAGATTCAGATGATAGTATTCCTTGCAATTGGAACGAATGGCCACAGAAATGTGGATGAAACATAGGTTCTCCTTTTATCATTACATAAAAATATTTTTATATTATTTCAAAACATGTATGTAAATTTAAACTTTTGAGGATCACTGAGCCCTGGGCCACCAAATCAATGTTTGATGCAATCAGAAATTAATGCATTTGAATTATGATAAAATGACATTGTTTATGCTTGATGGTGTCAATGATATTAGGGAATTGCATTTTAGCGTTTCTTTAAGAATGGGAGTAAGGACATGTATAATTTTGAAAAAAATGTAGAAGACATTTATCTTTTGTAATAAAAACTGACAAACAAAACATATTTTTCTGAGTTCAATTGACATCTTAGTCATATTGTAAAGAATGTCGTGTGTATGTTTACCTAAATTCTGAATAGTTTTAGGAAAGGAATGTAGTTGTAAATGAGACTGAAGGATGAAGTATTGGTAGTACAGAATTGTGAAAGAACATGCCCAGTAATAAAATTTTCTTAATGACTTTTTTCACTCCTTTTCAAATCTT